CTTTTTCTATTCACAGTTCTCGGTAATAATGCTTTTCAATCTTTGGGTGTGTTGCATGTCCCCGCCATTATACTTTGTCGAACACTTCGCATTTCTCTTACAGTTACGATAATCTGACTGTGAGAGACCGCCGAGAAAAGTTTCAGTTGCGGTATCGTGGAGTTGCGAAATTAGTTTACGTTATAAAACCATTGAGTAGCTCCTTTACGATTTTCTGAGATCTGTCCCAGGAGTTACAATCGCTGTGTAGCTTGCCGCTTATATGATTGCATATTCGTTGAGAGCTATTTTTTGAGAAAAGAACTGATTTCCTCAGCTATTCTTTCTATTCATGTATTTTTTCTTTGAAATGTTTGGCGTCAAAGTTCAGGTCGATGCGATGCTTGTGGATAATCATGGAAAGGAGGTTGATGACCTCGCGATCCAGTTCACCTCTACGGATATGCGACACGCGAATGTCCGCATCGGCACTCATATCATGAGTGCAAAAATCTATGACTTGCCCTGTGTAACAGAGGTGAATATTATCTTGAGTTATAGTTTCCTTAGTAAGTGAAGTGAATAATCTGATGAATAATGGAAGTTAATAATTATTCGTATTTCATGTTTAAGGTCATGAAAACACTGGACAAGAAGACCCTTTACAAGGTTGCTGACCTCTCCCAGATAGTTGTCTGCAGTCACGACCTGTGCGCAGTACCTGCCGAAGCTGTTAAACTGGGCAGTAAAAAGGTATGTCGTAATGCTGTCAAGGTTATCCCTTTTCTGAAAATAGTTTATGAAAAATGGATAAATGAGAACTCCAGTGTTGATAGATCTCGGGAGTAAGCGTGGGGTTTCTCTCGATTCGTCTTTAGGCCCGCTAAGGCTGGTGTCAGAGTCCGCGATCCGTCGCGCGATTCGCTGAATCGCAAGTGCCCATTTGAACATTTGAAACACTGAATATGAAACAAGTAGAATCATGAACAGTCGTCATTCAACCATCACCATCAAGCAGAAATGTTAGCGGGATTGGGGAGTACTGTTCGCGACACTTGTGATTGCTGTGTCGCGCGACGGATCACAGAAATCACAAGTGTACTCTAACACCAGCCTAACACATTATCGACGGTTGCGCGTTTTTGGTCGCATGGGACGAGTGAGATTTCGTGCCGCCGTGTCGCATTACATCCGCGGTTTTGGCTTTTGTAATGTAACGTTAAAAAATCGATGCCACGAAATAATTTCACCAGTGTGCAATGCGTGGAGGTTTTGCAGGGACATAACACTAAATTTCCTAGCAAAATTACGTTTAATGGCAATGAAAATACGCGATTTTCGCACCAATCAGCATCATAAGAATTTTTTCCTCGATTGTTTTGATAAAAATTTCTCATCTTCTTATCCGCAAGGGTTTGCTTTTATTTCTGCTGCTCGTTTAGTTTACATATTTATGGCAACAAGACAACGAAGAGTAAATCGAACCAAAAAATTTGTAGGTCTCAGAAAAATTTTCGTAAAACAAAGCATATCTAATCTGTCCTTAGACCATATCGTTTACAATTGTCCATCGCCCCGGTTATTTCGTTGATATCAGATCTTCAAGGATTACCGAATGGTACGTGATTACTAACTGGCAGGCCATATGGGCTGCTCTGGCGTGAATTTGTTAACCAGTGATTAATTAGAAAGATCAAGAGATCTTTCGCAAGTGGGTATTCGACGTACATAGTCAGGTGCGCTATCTACTCTCTATAGGAACCTGTACACCAGTTAACCGACTGAAGAAATTATGTTGCTGCTCCGAGCTGGAGCTTACGGTGGGCCTCCTAGCTCGGTCGCGCGAAGGAACTTTTTTGCCTCTCCCCTCCCCACTGTATATTTGACGTTTATATCTTGTGCGCGCTCATGAAATAGAAATTTATTACCTGTTGTCTTCGATAAGCTATTTATTTTAGATGGTTACCATATATCGATTACTTTGTGTTTTCAAACCATCTTCATTGAAATCAGTGAATCAGCTCTAGCCTCGGTGGAATTTTCGACCCATAGCTAACTCCATATTTATTATTTACTTCCAGGAACTGAAACAGTGGCAATATCCTCACGGTCTCACACCGCCGATGAAAAGTGTGCGCCAAAGACGTTTCCGTAAGACGAAGAAGAAGAAATATATGGAAGCACCTGAGGTACTTTTAATCTTTTCACGACATGTTTTTGGGTAGGGTTGACTACCACAATACATACTCTAAACCGGCAAAGGGATTGTAACAATATAAGGCGCCACATAAGCTATCGCTTCTTGTCGTGGAAATATTGGGTTATTAAAAAGTTTAGTTACATCTCAATGATAGAAGTGATCTCTTGCTCCTTCTTTGATCCCGTAGCTCTCATTCAATAGTCTGTTGAAGGTGGACGGAGTGGACCTGAACCATTCGTAACTCAGAAGGAATAAGTTCCGCGTTGGGTTTTATAAAGTTTTTCGACTTGGTGAGGTTACCTCTGACTGGGACATCTGATCTTCTCAGAGCAAGCGCAGGCTTAAGTTTAAGCCTAAAGTTTAGTTTCATTTTGTTTAGGTGGAACGTGAGCTGAAACGTCTTCTTCGAGCTGATCTGGAAGCCGAATCATTTCGTTGGGAGATAGTACAAGCTGACGATAAACGCAAGGTGTTTGGGCTGCCAATGAATGCCAAAGCTTGCATGTCAACCTCATCAACGCAAGCATGTTTCTCTTTTCTTCCTTTTTCCTTCATGCTCCTATCGTACTTTATTTCTCTCAATCTTTGCTGTCCTTTGCTTTTTTGCCTGCTTTACTAGATCTGTCATGATGAAAATAAATACTCTACGTTTAGGATACAACGATTTCCGAGCAGACTTTGTTTGGCGATAAAGTCAGCAGTAGCGAGGACGATGTTGAGGACCTGCCGCAAGTTGAGAAAGATGAATAAAACTATGGTTCTATTTCCTCACTTTGAATGGATTGATCATTTGTGAGTACAGAAGGGATATTGTTCTGAGGTCTCGCAAGTCTCTTCTTACTTCCACTTTGGAACTGTCATTGCATTCTCTGTGTTACCTTATCCTTCGAACGGGCGGTGGGTTCTTACCAGTACCTTTTCTCGCAAAGGAAGGCTAGTTACTTGTCTCATTCCCCCCCCCCCTCCCCCATTACGGATTATAGGTAAGCGTTCTTCCTATGAGATCATGCATTCTTATCCTTTTCCCTATTTTATTAAGTTTTTGTGGTAATGGGCGCAAGCGCGAACGCAGCGCGTGGTCGTGCTGCTGCCAACTTGACTGTGTTTTGGAATCAGGTGATCTCTTTGCGTAAGGCTAATTTACTCACCTCCATCCTATTCTCGAATATCTGTTCTGTTAGCATAAAGAATTCATCGGCTTCTGTAATGATTCATTCATTCATTTGTATTGATTCAATGTGCGCAAAAGTGGTGTAAT